GGTTTCCTGTCGTACATTTAAGTCCTTTATCCATTTTGAGTTTATTCTTGTGTATGGTGTAAGTTGGTGGTCTAGTTTCATTTTCTTGCATATATCTGTCCAATTTTCCCAACACCATTTATTGAAGAGACTATCTTGGCTCCATTGTATGTTCATGCCTCCTTTGTCAAAAATTAATTGAGCATATTGGTTCGGGCTAATTTCTGGACTCTCTATTCTATTCCACTGATCTATATGTCTGTTCTTGTGCCAGTACCAGGCAGTTTTGAGAACAGTGGCTTTGTAATACAGCTTGATATCTGGCATTGAGATCCCGCCTACTTTGTTCTTTCTCAGGATCGTTGCAGCTATTCGGGGTCTTTTTTTATTCCAGATGAATTTTTGGAGAGTTCGTTCTAGATCTTTGAAGAAGGCCATTGGTATTTTAATGGGGAGTGCGTTGAATGTATAGATTGCTTTGGGTCAAAAATATTTTTTAAATATATTTAATGGAGAACCAAGATGGCCTGTACTCATTGCCTCCCAAAACCAAATCAAAATTACAGCTAAAATACAGAACACATCATTCAGAATCACCTGAAAGCTGACTGAATGGGAGTCCTATGACTAGAGAAGAAGCACATTGAGATGGGTAGGAGGGGTGGAGGCCCACAGACTAGGCTGGTTCGACACCCACGTGTGCCGTTTTCTAATCGTGAGGGACATCGGCTCTGCGGAGGCCGCCCCTGAAGAGCAAGGGGTCCTAGCCCCACACCAGACCCCCAGCCCAGGGTCCCGGCGCTGGGGAGAGAAGTCCCCGTAACTTTGGGCCTTAAAAACCAGAGGGGATTTTGGCTGAGTGACACAGAGGCTGCTGAATCCCAGGTGTTCTCCTCTTAAAGGGCCCACACACAAACTTACAAGGTCTTGCTTTTTCTGATCTCCAGTGTTAGGGGCGGGGTGGTGGTGGCAGGAACTCAGGGGTGGCTTTCTCCCAGACGAGGGTGCTGGGACCTCCTCCGTGGCAGGGCTGACTGGCAGCCATATCAGCGTGGCCTACACTGCTTGCTCCACCCTGGGGATTCCCTGAGACCCCGCCCCCTCCTATTTGCAGCCCCACCCAAACCGTTTGCTGCAGCTTTTCCATATGAATGGCCTGTTCTGGCTCAGGCTTCAGACTTTGTTAAAATCTTTCAAACAAGCTGCAGCTGATGACAGCGTTCCCCAAACCATCAATAAAAGGTCCAAGACCCGGCTCTAGCACCAGCCTACTTGCTTCACAGCTAGGCCTCACCTGTGCACAGCAGCTCTCCCACAATGGCAACAAGTACACATCTATCAACAATTAAATCTAAAAATCAAAATAAAAGAACAAGAAATCTAATGAACAAAATGAACTGGTGCATAAAACAGAATCAGAGGCATGGAAGCATAGGTCAGACTGACGAATCTCAGAGGGAAGGGGGAAGGGGGGCAGGAAGAGCTTAACCAAAGATTTTACCTGTGGGCACAGACAGTAGGGTGGTGAAGGCCAGCGGTGGGGTGGGAACCGGATGGAGAGGGGTAATGGGGGGGGGGGGGCAACTGTAATACATTGAACAATAAAGATTAAAAAATAAAAATATATTGATTTTAGGGATGGTGAGAGAGAGAAACATCAATTTGTTGTTCCACTTCTTTATGCATTCATTGGTTACTTCTTGTATGTGCCCTAACCGGGGATTGAACCCACAACCTTGGCATATTGGCATGATGCTCTAACTAACTGAGCTAACTGGCCAGGGCATGAATGCTCGCATTTTATAGATGATGTGAGTAGACTAGGATATGGATGGTGAATCAACATTGGGGGTCTGGTTGGCAAAATAAAGGACAAGGTTTACAGGGTAATAAATTTCCAATGTTATATACAAACATTTTCCTATCTAAGTAAAGATTTTATATTAAGTTTAAAAGTGGGAAAAAAAGAGGAAGAAAGGAGGAGAAGGAGAAGAAAGAAAAGTTTCAAACCAGTTAATCTTGACGATTCCGTGAGAGCGAACAGTCTGCTGTGCCGAGGAGCAAGTCAGTGGTTCTCAATGTGTGGGCCCAGGAACAGGAGCGTCCGCAGCATCTGAGAGCTTCTTACAAATGCAAATTCTTGGCCTCGAAGTTGACCAGCTGAATGAAAAAGCCTGGGGCTGGGGCACACTAATTTGTTTTTCAACAAGCTTTGCAGGTGATTCAAGGATAAGAATCACTGGCCTAAGAAACGGTTTCTAAAACTCGCAGAAAGTCTGTTCCTTTTGAAGAGACTCTTGACTTTTTGGATCTTGGCCTGAGAATCCTTCATTCCACACATCTCTAAATGTTCATTATCCTTGGTACCTTTGGCCCCCAAGGAGGAACTCGCAAAGAGTATGTGTTTTTGAGACATTTAGAAACTTTTTAACAACTCCCATTGCTCCTTCGGCCCCAGTGGTAATCAGCCCAGTCCTGCTTCCTGAGCCCCGTCCAATCGTTGCTCCCTGAAGATATTGTCTCATCCCCTAGGGTCACACCCATTGTGCACATGACGTATGGGCGGTGGGTAGGAAACTGAGGCTGCAGGAAAAGATCTTCAAAAAGATGTAAGACCTGAGGCCTCTCTCTCCTTCTGGGCTGAAGAACTGTGAGAGACCAGGGTTTCCCCCGCGGTAAATAGATCAGCTATAAGAAGGATCTAGAAACACTTGCTGGAGAGTGGGGAGAATAAACAAGTGACATGGACTTGATGGGAGTAAGTCTCAAATGTGAAGAGACCCTCAGACAGTAATGCGGGGGAATGTGATGTGGAAAACGGATGCCTCAGGTTGCATGTGAAAACCCAGGCTTTTAAGGATGGAGTGAGGCATTGGCCCTGTGGGTTAGAGGGAGGATGCTGAGAGCAAAGGGTAAGGAAATACACCGTAAAGTTCTCCACGTAGTCACGTAAAACAAGATCACATAAACTGCCTACTAATACATTAGGTTAGAAAACATAAGCGTGTTTTTCTACCTTGAATTGATTTACAAAAGCTTGGTAGGGGACTTCTAAGAGTCTGAGTTTTAAGTTGTGGGCACCACACAATCAAAAGAACACAATGAGGGAGAAGCAAGATCAGATATGAGTTTAGAAAGATCACTCTGACAGCTGTCTAGAAAATGGGCTGGAGTGGAAGCAAACGGAAGCAGAAGGATGAGACTAAAAAGACTTCTAATAGACAATAGATTGCAGCAGGCAGCTGGGAGAGGATGGGAGATGGAGACACGGTGGCGGGACTGGGAGGCCACCTAACCCCTCATTTGTTACCCTCTATCTCTCATCTTCCATCCCCTTCACCACTTTGGTCCTGCTCTCTCCCCAACACTTCATTACCTCTCCACTCCCTTCCTTCACTTGCTCTATTCCTTTATCTCACTTCCTCATAATCTCCCTTCTTTATTCCTTTGTCTATTCTATTTCTCTTATTTCAACATCATCCTTTGTTTTCCACCCTTGTATTCAGTAACATATTTTAAAATTCTTATTCTTTTCAAAAGAGCTCCCTGAGTCCCCTGCATACGATTTCATCATCTATTTCTTAATCCAGAGAATCTCTCTCACCCATCTCTCTTGTCTCAATATACACACCACATATGTCCTGTCTTCACTCAGTAAGGGGCCACCTACATCAGAAAGGTGCAGGGGACTCACTCTATAGCTTGTCACCCATCCAGCAGTCAATATCTCAAGCTTTTTGAGTATTATCTATCAGCAAGATTGGGCACAAATAAACTATAAGATCCACATTTATGTCTCTGGGAACTTACAATGAATTATGGAGGAAAAACACAGACACATGAAAAGTTCATCAACATTATAATGTGTTAAACGTTGCATAAAAAATGATGGGTAGAAAAATGCATTAGAGACAGGAAGAAGAGAGGGTGTCTTTGGAGTAGGAGACTATACAGAGGAGAGTGATCATCATTTATTATTCCAGGCACTGTTCGAGGAACTTTATGTGTTATTTTATTTAATTCCCTGGACTAGTCTACAAAGAAAACATTTTTATTCTCACCTTGCAGATGTGGAAACTGAGACCCAGAGAGGTTCAGTCATTTACTGAAGGTCAAATCTCGAGGACATAGCAGCCCTGAAGTTTGACTGCAGGTCTGTTGGACTCCAAGTGTCTTCCCACTGCCTTATTACACTGAATCTTTGAAAGGCAGGTTCCATGTGTCTCTGGATGGCTTGACGATCTCATAAATATTTATTCCAGCAGCAACTGTAAACTCTCCAGCGATAAGGTCACTTTATCAGCACCTGGTTATATGGTCTGCACATGAGGATGACCAACATGTGGACCTGGACAAATCGATTTAGCTCCTGAGCACTGAAAGTGACTTCATGTATCTCCGTGTGTGGTTCGTTTTCCTCAGGTGTATGGAAAACACCCCATGGAGTCAGGGAACCTCACCTGGATATCAGAATTTGTCTTCCTGGGGCTCTCACAGACTCGGGAACTCCAGCTTTTCCTGTTTTTGGTGTTCCTGCTGGTCTACACCACCACTGTTCTGGGGAACCTCCTCATCATGATCACAGTGACCGCAGACTCCCGGCTTCACAGCCCCATGTACTTTCTGCTTCGGAATCTGGCTATCTTAGACCTCTGTTTCTCCTCAGTCACTGCCCCAAAGATGCTGGTGGACTTCCTCTCTGAGAAGAAGACCATCTCCTACCTGGGCTGCATGGCCCAGGTCTTCTTCTTCCACTTTCTGGGAGGTGCCATGGTCTTCTTCCTCTCAGTGATGGCCTATGACCGCCTTGTTGCCATCTCCCGGCCCCTCCACTATGTCACCATCATGAACACTCAGCTGTGTGTGGGGCTGGTGGTGACAGCGTGGATGGTAGGTTTTGTCCACTCCATTACCCAACTGGCTCTGATGCTGCCACTGCCTTTCTGTGGCCCCAATGTCCTGGATAACTTCTACTGTGATGTCCCACAAGTGCTGAAACTTGCCTGCACTGACACCTCCCTCCTAGAGTTCCTCATGATCTCCAACAGTGGGCTGCTGGATGTCATCTGGTTCGTCCTCCTCCTGGCCTCCTACTTGGTCATCCTGGTGATGCTAAGGTCCCATTCAGAGCAGGCAAGGAGGAAAGCAGCTTCCACCTGCACCACCCACATCGTCGTGGTGTCTATGGTCTTCATTCCAAGCATCTACCTCTATGCCCGGCCCTTCACTGCCTTCTCCATGGACAAGGCTGTGTCCATCAGCCACACGGTCATGACCCCCATGCTCAACCCCATGATCTACACCCTGAGGAACCAGGAGATGCAGGCAGCAGTGAAGAGATTAGGGAGACAGCGACTGGTTTGTAAAAAGGACTGACAGTGGGTAGGTCACTTCTCTTTGGCTTTGTTTTCTATTTGTAGAGTGAAGAGAGCTCAGATTTTTAGGCAAAGGAACATTTCTTTGTTTTTAATTGTGATATATGATTTGAACACTCCCGTGACAATAAAGTATATTCCCATGGAAACATTCTGGAAAATCACTCCCTCCTTTCCACCTTCTTGATGGATAGTTTCCTTCTGTGATGATAGCATTTCTCCATAAGAGCAGTTCTATTTTCTGTATTTTGATCTCTTTTCCCAATACCCCTTTTGGCCTTTGTCCAGAGTGATAGAGCAAGTGCAGAGCCTGGAGACTTAGCCCTAAATTACGAGCCCATGTTCCACTATCTTCCAAACTTGTAACCTTGGCTGAGCCACCTGCCTCTCTAGGACTCATGGTTTCTTTCTTACTGAACTGGCATAAAACAGTATCTGTTCCGATAATCTCACAGATTTGTTATAAGATTTAATATGATGTAAATCATCGAACCTATGTAAGGATTATTGTTATTGTTGCTATTATGCCTGGTATTTATCCTTTCATCAGTTGAGTCGTGTTTTGGAAATACGGCAGAAATTCCTAAGTGCAGTGAGGGAGGCATTGCAAGGGTAGAGGCTGAACTCCAAGGGGCCATGCAACTTCCCCAAGGGTGAGACAGAGAAGAGAAAGCACATAAATTCAGGGCATGTATGCAAGACTCGACTTCTTACTGCTGTTCCCCCACCCATCCCCATTTTCAGGCTCTACGCGTCTTGCAAACAGGAATGGGAGGTCCATTCATTTGTTCATTCATTCATATTTGTAAATATGCATTTGGGACCTGATATAGTTTTCTAGGAAGGGCTCTAGAACAGTTTATGGACTATCCCCTTCTCCCTCCTACATTGATAGATATCCTCTCTATATCCCCCTTCCCTTTTCCCTTCCTCCCTCCCTACATTGATTTTGGCCTGTTTAGTCGTGACATCCATCTGGTGTCCCTCTCCCATTTCACTGTTGTGCCTAGTTTCCTCTCTGCCTTGGTCCCCCTTGCTCAAGGTCCCCAGGGTGGTACTGGCTCCTAGGCCAGCTCTCCAAGGCCCCATAGTAAGTTTTTCTGGTCTTGCTAAAAACAGAACAACCAGCCCTAGCTGGTTTGGCTCAGTGGATAGAGTGTCGGCCTGTGGACTGAAGGGTCCCCGCTTTGATTCCAGGTCAGAGCACATACCTGGGTTGTGGGCTCGATCTCCAGTGGGGGTCATGCAAGAGGCAGCCAATCAATGATTCTTTCTTGTCATTGATGTTTCTCTCTCTCTCTCTCTCTCTCTTTCTCTCTCTCTCTCTCTCTCTCTCTCTCTCTCTCACAAACTAACAAAACAGAACAGAACAACCTGCCTCTCTTAGGAGAGTCCTCAGCACCGGGAACATGTACACACACACATGCACACATGTGCACACACTCCTGGCCTGCCCCAGCCTCGACCCAGTATGAAGCCACCATAGTTTGAGTTAAGCCCCTTCTCACTATCGACCTCAGTGTCTTGTCATGAGAATAGGTGCAAGGACCCCGCTCCCAGGAGCCCCTGGGAACAAGAGCAGGCCCACCAGGCCCTGAGCCTTGCTCTGCTGCAGCTGTCTCCATGGGGGCCGTTGGAGCTGAGAGATAAAGAGATCCAATCAGGCCTGTGGCCAACAGCAGCCCCACTGTGGCTGGAGGACAGTTTTTGTGAAAGTGGTTGCAGAATGCTGAGGTTTTGAGGTGGGCAGGGGAGGGCGGGAAGAAGGTTCTTGGGTATTACAGCTAAAAGATGCCAGGGAGGGAAGGCTCCCTCATGGTCTTGGGTTTGAGCCTCAGCCTGGCAGGGCCAGTCTCTGCAAAGGTGTCCACTGACCCGGGGCTGGCCTGACCCAGGGCGAACACTGCCCCTGACCAAAGGCACCAGGTCCTAATAGCTGTTCAAGCACAAACCCAAGCCTGACCCAAGAGCTGTGACAGGCAAGGTCACAGCAGATGCATCCATTGCACAAATTCGCATTGAGGCCCTGCCAGGCATTGTGCTAGGGGCTGAGGCCACAGTGGGCAACAGGACAGGCACACACCTATTCTGTATGGCACTCACAGACCTGTAGGGAGCTGTAGCTTCACCAGATCCACCCACAGACAGACATACACGTGTAATTAGTGATGTTATGTTCTATGAAAGAAGCTATAAGAGTAAGGACCAGGGAGACCCAGACACTTGATTTGGATCTAGTGAGCCTGAGACAGGAAAGGCTCCCTATGGATGGGGCCTGGAGGGTCAGTAGGAGTCGCCGGCCACTAAAGGGGAAGGGTCTTCATGGTTGAGATCCATTGCAGGTAGGGTAGGTCCCTTGCAGGAGCTGAAAGCCAGTGGGTTTAGAGGACAGAGGAATAGAGAGGGGAGACGTGGCTCTGGAGAGGGGAGGTGGCAGGACCGAGACTGTGCAAGCCTGGGGGCCTCTTGCTTTAGGAGAAGCTGCACGGAGGGCCAAGATGTGTTGGCAGAAGGGACGGTATGCTCATGGGACCAGTGGTTCCCAGCCCCCCAGGGCCACAGAGTCCTATGGCCACCAGGGAGGGAGGGAGAGCCGTTGAAGAGCTGGCTGGTCAGGGTCCTGATCCCTGAGGATGTCCCCATCCTTCCTCTTGCCCCTTTAGTCACAGTTTCCAAGCAGCCTGTCTCCTCCTGTTACCCCGAGGGCTCTTTTTGATGTGTCTCGTTACAAATCTTTTCTTCCTATGTGGCTCGGTCTTGGAGTCTGATACGGCCATTTCCCTTTCAGAGGAAGAGCTCTCCTGCACGACTCCCCCACCTGCGGTCCAACCAGGCCCAAGCCTGTAAGCTTCAAATGAAGGCATTTTTGTTCCTTATCCTTCAAGAAGCATTGTATTCTACGTGGAAGTCAGTTCTCAGTTCCATGGTGGCTCCCTCGGATACATGCATCCGCTTTGAGAGTGAGTTCCAAATCATCTGGGTTTGGAATCCTCTGAGCTGATGTCGGCTACACGTCACCCCTCCCGTCCCCTGCAGCGATGCATGTTCGTGCATTTAAACAGCTGATATGAACAGCGATCCCACAGCGATGGTAAAGATGAAGAGATAGAACCGGATGTCCTTCCATTCTTCACGCCATGTGACCGTTTGGACTTATAATTTGTGTTTAAAATTTAAAACATTCAAACAGAATGCAAACTGCGAAGTATAATGCTTTGAAGTGCAAATTTTACTTCATGCATGGCAATTTTACGGAATTTGAATATCTTTGCCATTAAAAGTTATCCTTTTAAAAATGTTTTTTGTTTATTTAAAAACTAAAAAAAAAAGTCGAGAAAACAGAAACTGGCTGGCAGGGGTGGGGTGGGAGGGGGCTGTGTGTGGAGGATTCAGGTGGCTGGCACGTAGGGGAAGCATCCTGTGGCAGGGCGGGCAGCAGAAAGCAGGCTGAAGGGGAAGGAGTCCAGGTGGCAGATGCCAGCGTTCCCTTTGGTCTCCTTGCCTGCATTTCTGCCTGCCCGTCCTGCCCCAGCCCAGGAAACCTGCCCTCCATAGACTGGTTGTATAGGGCCCCTCGGCGGTCCCTTGCTATGTGCTTGTCTCTCATCAGCACTTCGAGCAGATCAGCCAATATGGCAGGCGGGGTCCAGAGCCCAGGGCCCTGTCTCCGGCTTGTCCCAATAGCCTGCAGCAGCCCACCGCTGTGGCAAACCCTCGCACTCTCACTGTTGCTGAACTAGAGTCCTCTGGGAGGGCAAGCAGAGCTCACTCTGAGTTTTCCTTTGCGGGTGCTGGAAGGTGGGCAACCTAGGTCCCCGCCTGGCTGCCAGCCATCTGGGGGTACCTGGCTCCCTGAGGTCCAAAAGGGAAAGCACATTTGAGGAGCAGGCTTCCACTTTTTAATGCTCTCTCCTTCATGAGGCTCCCTGTCCCTGTGTCACAGATGTGGGCGCTGAGGTCCAGGGAGTGGAGTGATTCACCCCAAGTCATGCAGGGGGTAAGCGCACTTTTGGCAACTCCATGGAGACTTTCACAGGAGAGGCGCTCCTGCGGAAGATAAGGAGATAAGATCAGGGGAGATAAGATCAGGGCCCAGGCCTTCAACAGGAGCTTGTGAAAGGGAGAGCAACTGTCAGGCAGGGGCGTTGGTGTGGGAGGAGGGGGCTGTGAAGGCGTGGGGCTGGGTTTCGGTAGGGCATGGGGGATAGAGGGCGGGAGACAAGACACTCAGACAGCCCTGCTGGGAGTCTGGAGCAGGGACAGGGATGGGCAAGTCCACCTGAAGGAGCAGGGAGGACAGGCCGGCTGCAGGGCTCAGCGGGGGTGATTCTGGAGCCCAGTATTGAGAGATGAGCACGGGTTCCCCAGGTAGACCAGGGTGGGGTCGAAGCAAAGGGTGGGCCTGGCTCATCCAGTGGAGGAAACTGCAGGAGGAAAGACAAGAGGGTATGAGAGAGCCTGTTGCTGGAGGGGAAAGGCCGACTGGGGTGTTCTACCCTTAAGATACGGAAATGAAGGCTTAGCCAAGGGCGCACAGGTAGTGACAGAGCCAGGCCCAACCCAGGTGGCTCTGAGCCCCTGCAGCAAGCCCCCTCCAAGGAAGCTACTGCTGATCAGCCCGACAAGTCAGAACTCACGCCTCCTACTCAGCGCCCACCTACTACTGCTAAGCGCTTAAATTCGAGGAGGAGCACGAAGCCTGACAGGTCCTCAGCTGTTATGGAGGATGGAGGCTGCTGCCATTGCTGTGCTGGGTGCTTTACTGTGACATCTCACTGTGTCCCCAGATGACCTCATGAAATAGCCCCATAATTTTCAGGCCCTGACTCAGTCATCACCTTACCCTCCACTGGCATCTTGGAGAGAGCTGGTAGGGTAGGGAGTAAGGGGCAGGGGCTAAATCATTAATCTTACATCATGAATTTACTCAACAAACATTTATTGAGCACCTACTGAATGCCAGGCCTTATACTGGGTTTGGGTCGGGGGTGGGGTATGGGGAGATACTACAGTAAGGCAGCCCC